TTGCCTCTGCTCCCAAGTAACAAGTGATAGGACAAGAGGAAACAGCCTCAAGCTGGGCCAAGGGGGAGTTTAGATTGGATATTAGGAAAAATTTCTTCAGTGAAAGGGTTGTCAAGCATTGGAACAGACTGCCAAGGGAAGTGGTGGAGTCACCATCCCTGGAGGTCTTTAAAAGACGTGTAGATGTGGTGCTTAGGGACATGGTTTAGTGGTGGACTTGGCAGTGCTAGGTTAACAGTTGGGTTTGTTGTTCTTAAAGGTCTTTTCTAACCTAAACTGTTCTATGATTCCAGGATGTAATATTGTTAACTATAGTGAGACAGCACTGGAGTTTTTGTTGTCTGTGGGCATGTAATTATTTTATTTCCATTTTGAAACTGTTCATTGTTTTAAGAATTATATATGAAAGGATAGTTTTGTATGAAAGCGTATTAGAGTGTGAGTTTGCAGAGAAGTAGTCTCTTCTAATCTGCTCACACAAAGGACTGGTAAAGTAAAAAAAAGCTTAGCCAACTCTTCCTGCAATCGATTTGCTAACTACTTAATATACTTTAAGGACCTGGTTGCTTGCAATGTTTTATTCATGTTTTAATAGAGTTCTCTATTATTAAGTTCAAATATTTTTAATTAAGAAAGAAGTACAACCCTCTGGGTAATATTGCAAGCATGTAGATAGCTGGTAATTAAAGTTTTCTGCACGTATAACTACATTCAAACAGTTCTGAATAAATCATTTTAACCTAAAAGAATGAGAATGTGATTATATATGAAAAAAAATCCTTTAAACAACAGGTTTTGTCAATCTAGCGAAAGTTTTAAGCTCTTAATAAAAATACTTTATCGTAAGGGGAGGATAAGCAAAAAGACAAGATAAGCTTTTAATTACTAAATGAAATACTAATTTTAGACAAATATGAGTATTGCAAAATTAATTCTTACATCGAAAGTTTCTCCTAAATTACAACGTGAACTTAATTTCAATTTTCAAATATTCTCTTTGAAAATTGGCAAAGACAATATAAAACTTGTGAAGAGTCTTTTTTGTAGTAGTCATCTGAAGCTACAGAATAAATAGTGCAAACGATTTGTCCTTTATTACAAGAAGTTTATTGTACAGGATGTTTAACACAGAGAATTGTCATAACGTCTGTTCTCCTTTCTGAGTATAGTATTTCTAGAGTGAAAGCATTAAAAGAAAAGAAAACTGAATGACAATTAGAAATAAGCTGGGGAAGAAAATCAACTATTATTTTGAATTGTTTTTTAAAAATTCCAAAAATCTATTCATCTTTCTTCATAGATGTAAAGGAAAAGACGAGGTTTGGGCAATGTTTTGCCTTTATGGAAAAGAGAATGAGAAAAATGTTCTTTCAATGCTTAGTGCTTTTATTCTGCATAACACTAGTTCATGCTGTCATTTTAATGACTGCATGCCAATTGCTTCTTATATTAGGTAAAAAATATAAGCCAAAGCTTCTCTTATAATAAGCAAATAAATGCAGAAGGCTTCTATATAGGAAAATTAACAGGAAATCAGCATCTTCAGTAAGATCAATAAAAGTTATAGCAGCTGCAGATCTGGTAGAATACTAATACATCAGAGCAAGCTTCGTACGAAGTGAACAAATAACTAATAGTAACTGAACTAATAACGTACATTCAGTAAGGGTTAACATACATTCAGTAAGGGTCTAGAGAAAACATCCTGTATTATTTTAGGATTAAAAATGGTAGTAATAATCACACTATTCAGGAATGAAGCTTGAACCTCAAAAACCAGAGGTAAAAAAGGGCTGGCAGGTGTACTAACAGCTTCTGTCATCTCCTTATACCTTGTACAAAATGGCAGACTGCATTTATCTGTGCCAAAAAGTAACCTCTGAGTGCTTGAGGAGATTCCATAGGAAAAATCTTTGCAAAGACATTTGACTTAAGAATTTGAGATACATAGTAAAAAATCAAAAATGTTTGCAATAGGCTTTAGAATTAATTGTCTTTTTCACAAAGTTTTGCATACTTGCACATGCAACTGTTGCCATGTGAGCACCCTTCAGTCATAAATGTGATATATTTGCTTGCTGATTGTCAGCTTGCAGGCATACTTCCCATCAAAGGTAGTTTACTTTGTCATTTCAGTGCTAATTTTCTTTTTGACTGGTTATTTGCAATAGATGTCTTTAAGTGAAATCTAGTATCATGGTAGTCAGAATGAAACATTGAAAATATCTCATAGAGTTGCTGCTCCCAAAACCTTAATGTTGCACAGCAATCTTTACTGAATGGTAGTTAATTTCTTAACTAGAATTAAAATAGGAAGTATTATTTTACATGCTATTGAGATAATAACTGTTGATTTCTTTTATGGCACCCCTGAGGAAATAAAAATATGCTGCATGTTTTTATTCTAAAACTGTTTTTGCAAATACATAGTAAAATATTCCAGAGCTTGAGGTGAAATTGAGGTTCTGTTCATTGCATGATGCCATCACATGTATTATTAAAAAGGAAGGGTTTCTCCACCTCTCCACCTCTCCTTGATCCCTTCCAGTGTGCATTGTGTTGCACACACTATACTTGGAGTTCAGTACTGTGAATGAATCTATGAGCATATCCCCAGTTAAACTTCTGGAGGGGAAGTAAGTAGTGTAGTATCCTTCCTGGCTTTGCTCTGATCCCAAGGACAAAAAAAGCTGGCAGGAAAGAGTATCAGATGGACAATAGTGCTTTTCTGATTCCTAGAAAATACAGTTTTATTAAGGTATATGGAGCTCCCTAAACCAGAAAAAAGTACTGTGTGTCACTGAAAATAACCTCCTTTTTCAGCAGTGTTGTCATATGATCTTTATAGTGAAAGTGAGCACTTTACATGTGAAATACTAATCAATGTATATGAAAATCTAGGATATATACATTATCTTTTTCTATTATTTCCTTAAAATGAGGAAACCAATGTCCAATGTATAACATCTTTTGTGGGCTGCATATGTCTTGCCTATGTGGAGCTGAGTAATTGAACCTATGTAATATTTTATTAATCACTCGCGTATGGTCATGAGTGTTTCTAAAAGCAAATTTCATGTTTGTGTGGTGTCATAACCTGAAGGTATTGAACGTTGCTGTGCTATTTCTCTTACTAAGATAAAGCTGCATTTCAAGTTTTCCTACGTCTCAGGTGTGATCAATTGACGATTATAATCCACATAGAAGACTTAGATATGTGTCTTGTATACATAGGGAGAAAGCAGAGGAGGTTGTAGTAATAGTTCCAATGTGTAATATTTCAGTGTGTCTTCTGGTGGTAAGGTGACTTTTGTACCCCTGAAAGACGCACGGAAACATTACACACTGGATTTCATAGCAGGAAAAGCTGGCAATGTTCATATCGCTAGTACTGCTGACTTGTGTGTGTTCTTGAGGTCTTCAGTTACCCTGTACCTCCCCACAGCAAAATATACTGAGATTGCACTTTCTGCCAGGAACATGATAAACTCCTGGTCTAAAAGCCTCATTCTCTTCACTAGAAGCAAAGCACCGTCCCTCTCTGGAATACGGTTACGTGGTGTCTTGCAGCCCACTGGCCATATTCCAGCGATCTAAATCCTGTGAAGTCCTGGTCACTACTCGGATTCACTTTTCAAGCAGAAATGCTTTGTAATTCCATTCAGAGCCAAAACTAGAGACCTCAAGTATTAGACCTCATCCTTTGTGAAACAGCAATCTATGTGGACCCTTTAAAAAAGGGAAAGTTTTTCTTAAAGAGGGAGTTCTTTAAACAAATACGATGCCACAGCAGATTGGGTGAACTTAATCTTATCAGGAGATTGTGCATGAGGTGTAAGTACAAACTGCAAAATAGTTAATACATGTTTTTAGCTTTTGGCCTGTGGATCAAGTTTGATTTAACAATTAGAGTTAAATTAACGATTCAACCAATGAGTATTAAGAAAAATGAAAATACAGTGATGTTTATTTTAAAACATATATACTAGCAAGTTACCAAAATAACTTCTAAAATTTAGTGCTGACATCTGTGGCTTTCCAGAGAAATTTTATGCTGTGCTTGAGAAATAACTAAATGTTATGTTGATGGTGTTTATGATACTGTGATAACTGTGATTTGGTTTATTTCAAGATTTGCATTTAATGCTTAAGCAATTTTAGCTACTGGATTTTTGAACTTCTGAAAGCCTGCTTTTATCTTCTGTTTTTAATTGCAGTGGAACAGCAACTTCACCGAACACCCTGGATCCAAACTGCACTCCATAGCAGTGTTTGTGTTCGTCTTCCTGTAATTATGTGTAAATACACTTGATCTTCATAGCTGAACAGAAATCTGTTAACTAATCTTTTCTAGTAAACATTTCGTTTCTCTTTTAGTATTGTAGCTTCTTGAAGATTCCCCAAGAGATTCTCCAAGGTATCTGTTTTATTCATATATTCTGTTCCATGATCCTGTCTATATTGTTGACTTTTCCATTTTATTTCACAGGAGTATGGCTGGAAAAACTACCAGTCAAGTAAACTGAGTTCATCTGAACTGCAGATGCTGGCTAGCATGAAGAGACAACAAAATGAAGAATTATGGGACACTGGGATCTCACATGGGCTGAGCGCATCACAGATAGATAACCTCAATGTTAGCATAAGTACAAGCAGTGATGACACAGCAACCTGGAACTCTTGTTTCCCACCAGTAAGTCTAAACACGCAGTATTTTCTTTCTATCAGTTCTGAGACTCAGGGGTCTTGAGTTAAAATTTCTTTATGTAGCTTTGAAATTTAGGGTATCATTACCAAACATTTTTTAGAACTTACCAAGTAAAACACGCAACCAAAACACATGTACTTCCAGCAGGTTCTGTAGTACCACCATGGACAAAGAGCAGATGTATTATATATATTTCTTGCTAGAATCCTCAATAATCATGTAGGCTGTACAGCTTGTCACAATAGTGGCTGACAACCTGCAGGTATGTGATATAGTACTTAAAAATAGTTCCAAAATGAATGAAACCCAGATATACCAGTCAGCAACTGTATTACCGTGCAAGTTATGGAAAATAATTGCTTCTTACAATGATAAAATCTCATTACTGAAAAGCTGACTGTTTAAAGGACTGAAGCAGGAGAACAGCGGCAAAAAGCTGCCATAGTTCTGAGCACTTAGTATGTGAGCCTTCTGTATTACAACTTTATATCATTATTTGTCCTGGTACAAAGTGGTACAAAATCACACACAGCTGCACTGTGTGACACTATGTGAGTGTTATAAGAACCAGAGGACTATTTGTTACAGTCCAGGGAAGAGTACTGAATGTATGAAATCAGAGAGTAACATTTCAGCAACTATATAAATGTACTTGCAGGAGCCGTTGTAAAACTAGATAACCACGTACTCCATTTATATCTCAGCAACATAGTTCTTATTTTATTATAGGTGAAAAAATAATAAACAGTGAATGTGACTGAAGTAAAGCACACAACACAACTCTTGGACACAGATCCAACGTTAGAAGAGTAAACATTGCTGTGTTGCCCCAGTATAAACTATTGTAGGGTAAATGCTCTAAAATGTTAGGTGCAAACTACCTCCAGGGATCTGTAGCGCCCAAATAGAGGCCTGTAGTAGCAATCCTCTGTAGTGAATGATGAACACAGCATTGGAACTTTGTGGTACACTGGTAAATGAAGGTTTCAAATGAGAAGAGATGTATCAATAAGTCGGTAATTGTACAAATGAGAACTTGGTTTTCAGAGTAATACTTCACAGGATATCAGAGAAACTTTAGTTGATTTTAACTATTGGAGATACGTCAACATTACACATTTAGTTGATTTCATCATATTTCAATGCATTTCCTCGGTACTCATTAAATAGACTCAAACATGGTGTAAATCTGCAAGACTGGACAAATGGAACTCAATTAAATAAAGAGAATAGCAGTCTCATTAATTTTTGAGTAGTTTAATTATAAGGAAATTGATAAGAATATTTAGACATGTCAGGTTTGGCTAATACAAATTACATGACTAAAACAAAATGAACTTTTAAAGTAAAATGCTTCAGTATTCAGTGAAGCATAATGTGATTGCAAAGACAGTTCTTTGATCTTACTACCTTGATCAGCTTCTGTAGCTTCAGACTAACAGCGTCAGTTTAAAAAAGTGTTTAGATATAATAGGTTAGTCATTTAAATTGTAACTCAATATAGCTGTAGTTTTTCATAATGGACCTTTGTGGGCATCTTTCTCCACATAAATCAAGTCTTTGAGAGAGAAGTTTTTGGAATTTCATTCAGTTGACTGAAGTGTTGGAGTGTCTTTCACATACAGCCTTGTCAGGTTTCTCCTGTGCATTTTGCAAGGCGGACATTGAGCTTTTAAGATTTAATGGCAAGAACTTTGTTTCCAGGAAAGGATAATTTAGAAAGCAAACCTAATCTTTCTCAGGTAAGGACTAACCACTTAGTCCCTCACTACAACGACTGCTGAAATTCATCTTCCGCAGTCTTCCCTACCCACATACCTCTGCCTGTATGCAAAGGGACTCTCTGTACCAGTACAATGTCAGTTATTTCACAGTATCTATTGATTCACTTCATATTTTCATGAGATAGCTGCCACAGCACCAGCTATTCATAGATGTGATACAAGTTTTTTGAGTATGGACATGTGCATTTAACACTGGTTGATGTAATTCTGTTCCAGTATTTGGAAAAATGCAGAGTATTCATGTGAGGGTGATAATTCATTTTCTAGACCTTTAGTATCTAAGAAAGTTATAAACAACGTTTATTATGCAAAGTGATTATGTAATCATCCCAAGTTGTTTTAACACAGAAACTTTTTAAAAAGTAGTTGGGGGCATTTTTGGTATGCTGATGTTAAATTTTAGTATATTTTGATATGCTTACAACATTTCAGAAGACTTTGAGAGTAGTGATGCTGTGCCAATATTCAAATGGGTAGCTGAAATGAAAAAGTTAATGTAGACCAGTTAGTCTGATATCATTGTCAAACCAGTGAAAAATCTGGTGTGGGATTCAGTTAACAAAGATTTAAAGGGTGGTAATATGGTTAAGGATAGTCAAGATCATTTTATAGAAAATATGTCCTCTTCAAAAAATCTAATCTTATGGGTAAAGTTAAAATTGTTAAGGGAACTGCTTAGATGTAACATTCTAAGACCATTGTACATATTCGTTTAAAAATGAGCAGCATACAATATTGATAAAGCACATCTTGAATGAATTTAGAACTGGTCAACTGTCAAATATCAAAAGCAGTCAGCAGGGAATTATCTGTGAGTAGAGTATATTCAGAGGACCCACTTCATGGTTCATTCAGGTCCAGATCTGATGTTGTTCAGTGTTTTTTATTGGTGATCTACGGTTTAATAGCCTGTGGTATACATATGATCATGCATTGATTTTATTCTTCCCTCTGGCTTTCAAATCTATGAATCTGTCATATAATTTCATGTAGCTGTTTTCAGTGAATCCCCATACATAGCATTCACATGTGCAGTAAATGTGTTGCTATATGCATAGGTAGTCTACATAACTGAGAGATCAAAATACAACCTAGTTGGAGTGATTAGAACACATTCAAAGGTTGTTCCTCCTGGATTTCAGTCTTCTGCCATGCATGGTCTTGCTGTAAGACCTAAAATCATAGAATCATAGAATGGTTTGGGTTGGAAGGGACCTTTAAAGGTCATCTAGTTGCAATCCCCCTGCAGTGAGCAGGGACATCTTCAACTAGATCAGGTTGCTCAGAGCCTCATCCAACCTGACCTTGAATGTTTCCAGGGATGAGGCATCTACCACCTCTCAACTTGATCCAGTGCCTCACCACCCTCACTGTGAAGAATTTCTTCCTTATATCTGGTCTAAATCTGCCCTCTTTTAGTTTAAAACCATTACCCTTTGTCCTATCACAACAAACGGTGCTAAAAAGTCCCTCCCCATCTTTCTTGTATGCCCTTTAGGTACTGGAAGGCTGCTAGAAGGTCTCCCCGGAGCCTTCTCTTCTCCAGGCTGAACAACCCCAACTCTCTCAACCTTATAGGAGACGTGCTTCAACCCTCTGATCATCTTCATGGCCTCTGGCTGGCTCCAACAGGTCCATGTCCTTCTTGTGTTGGGGACCCCAGAGCTGAAGGCAGTGTTGCAGGGGGGGTCTCACCAGAGCAGAGTAGAAGGGGAGAATCCCCTCCCTCAACCTGCTGGCCATACTGCTTTTGATGCAGCCCAGGTTACAGTTGGCTTTCTGGGCTGCCAGCACACATTGGTGGGTCATGTCCAAGCTTTTCATCCACCAGTACGTCTAAGTCCTTTTCCACAGGACTGCTCTCAATTCCTTCGTCCTCCAGCCTGAGTAAAGTCATCATTTCTTCAGCTTCCAGTTTTTACCAAAAGTATTCCTTATATGTATATTAATTCCTTATATATATATAATGTAAGAAATATACATGTAGAATAAAAGCAAATTTGTTTTTATGTTACTGATCTTTAGTACCACCATCATTTGAGTTGAGGCAAGAGAATTTGCAAATGATCATTCCTTCCAAAATCAGATGTACAAACTGCAGAAAAGTTTATATATAATCTGTAGCCATCTTCCAGTTGCATAGGCAAGTGATTTTAGCAGTGCATTATATAGAAAAGAAATAGAAATAATCTTCATATTGTAGTTTGAGAAATTAAGGGCAGCTAGAAATTCTTGTCATGATTAAACTTTCATGCTTACATGTGTTTCCAGGTTGTATCTTTCTGATTATTTAAATCAGTAGTATCTATTGCTTTTTCTTGTGTTCTTCAGAGATAAGTAAGAAGTATTTTTATTCCAAATTTTTGTTCATTTTATACATTTTTGTCCCTTAGTGGAATCTATGGCAACAGCACCACCAGAAGGCAGCTTTTTGTGTACCTTTCATTTTAAAATGCCTATGATGTTTTGCAAGGCAGGGCAGGATATAATCATGTTAGATAGCAAACTTATGTATCAAAGTAATATTTTATATATAAAACACATTTTTAGTTAGTTTATTTTTTCATCACTTGCCATTGTTACTCTGATTTCCAGATTCACTTAAAATTCTCATCTTACTGACTCTAATGAATCTAAGAAACCTTTCTGAATGTAAAGGCACATAGATCAATCATATTGCTAAGTTGCAGTTTGAACAGATGTCCTTAAACTACTGTAAAACAGATATACTAAAACTGTATTTTTATATCCTATGATAGTTTACCAAGAACTGAATATATGCTGTCAGGAGAAATCGTTGAAATGTAACTTGTTTAGTGCTGCCATAAACTATGACAGCCAAAAAGGAATAAAATAGCTTTGAATATTATACATTAACTAGCATAGCTATCATTTATAAATATGAAAAACTTCTATTTTAAAATGGATTTACTTCGAAGGAGAATTGTAAACCCTTGTAAAATGTGTGTGGGGCACAGTTCCAAATCAATAGTATGTGTATATAGAGCTAAGTATATTAAAATACTTTATTTGACCGTGTCTTACCTGAATGTTTTATTAAATCTTAAGGTCTATGAAATTACATGTTAGCTTTGCAACAATATGAAAGACACAGTTCTATATATTGCAGAGTATAATGTGAAGTTTATACCCACACATGTACATATTATCCAAGAAAATTTGCAAAGCTTACAAAATATTTCTGCTTAAATGCCCTGCTTTATTCTAGAGATCCAGTAAGACCTTCCTGCCCTGTCAGAATTGGCCCATTTAGCTTCTTGGATAGCTGTTTCCACACTTCAGACACCACTTCAGATATAAGACAAACATTCTGTAGTAAAATCGTTTATAAGAGAATTCAGGATATCTTACAGCATATGATCCCTGATTGTCAATGCGAAATGCAGAGAAGAAGGAAGATTCTCCTAGAATGCTCATTGATACATTCTAGAAGCTTGTAGTGGTATAATGCTCCATTAGCAGACTCCAAAATATGCTCACCACTAAGACCTGTCTTTTGAGTAAGGAGTACTCAGAGAAGAAAGACTACTTGTTCCCCAAGCAACTTCCTAAATATAAATTCAGTCACATAAGCATTGATCTGCAAAATATTTGAAAGAGTACTTCCAGCTTCGTACCTAATTTGTAGAAGGTCTTCTGGCCTCCTTTGTGATGTTTCAGAAAAGAAAGGCACTTAATAGAAAAATGGTCTGGCAGAACGGAAGTCTGACAGACAAGAGGAGTGATATTTAAACCCAGAATTATTCCAACTGAGAGCTCAGTTTGACAACCCCTGGAGGGATCTGTTCACATCAAGTCAAATTGCAAAACTGAGGCAGACTATTCTTTACTGTGAAATGAGACTAAAAATTATTTAGACAGATATTCTGGTTCATAGACTGACTAATTCACTTTCTGTCTCATCCTCAGTCTTCCACTAGCCATTATTTGGGAATTGAACTATCCACCACCAGGCAGTGACTCATATTTGGCAGTAATTAGGATGTCATTCATCCTAAACATGTATTTTACAACATCCCTTCCCACTTCCTGAAACCGTGAGAATATACTCATTTTTATAGTGATTTCTGTGAAAAAAGCAATTGCTTTCATAATGTTTTGTATTTATTTTTAGCATTTCATGTACCAGATTGTACAAGTATTGTTAATGTATGCTTGTATTTTCAATTCTTTTGCATTTGCTTCAGTGATTTGTTTAGAACTGGTTTTGAGGTGTGTGATAGTGGCAGGGGGAGTCTCTCTGGAAGCACTACATATATACTGAGAGAAAATGTATTTCTGAATATTTGAATTCTTGAACTTCTATACCAGTTTATGAATATTGATCTTTCTTGCAAACAAGTGATTTTAATCCCATAAACCAAATGTAGTTTGAAACTGTTGGGGCACGTTCTTCAATGGGTAGGTAAGATTTGAAGACTGTCAAAAATGATCATCTTTTGTATGAACATTCACAAAGTCCACCATTAGCTATTCATGAACAGCTTGCTCCAGGTTTCAAATTGACAGTGCCATAGAGAATCACATGTGCTTCAGCCCAAACTTCATTTGGGACTGCTAAGATTACTGTTAATGGTGCTTCTGAGGAGAGAGGAACCATGCCTGCCAGCCCTATTGGCTGTGGCTCAGTGTTGTCTAGTCTTAAGAATGGTTGATTCTGCACAGATCCTGCTACGAGTTCCTGCACCATACACGAACAGTCCATACTTTTCTATCACAAGACTTGGCCACTCTTTCCTCTCTGAAGTTTCCCGACTCTGTCCCAACACTGTCACAGTCAATAGAGAAATGACCATGTGGTGGACTCCTTAATTCATGTGTCTTTCCACTCAGACAAGCATCATCTGTTAAGTTGTACTTTTGCACAGTTAGGAATTGAATATCCATTTTTAATTTCACAGGTAAGAAAGACGACTGTAAAATTCTAATATCAGAAGCTGCAAATGTGTATGCTCATAAAAGATCTCTTGCATACTTCTAAACATTCTGAAAGAATATTTGCAAAGTTATTTTCTCACTATTATTTTTTGTTTTTCATAGCCCATCAGTCAGGAGCATCACTATCAGAAAGAAATGAGCCCACTTTCTCATTCCAACCCACGGTAAGATTCCTTTTATAGCCCAGGCAGTAAGGATTCAGTTAGAGTGTTCTGAATATTAAATGTGACATTCTTTGATTTAATTTTAAATCTCTTTTCAATTGCAACCTCCTCTCAGAGGGCTTTACTATTGCTCGTTTTAGTCATTGTCTGCAGTATGTCTGCATTGTCCTGGAACACAAAACTGAATGCTGCATGTTTTGGATGTGTATTTAAAGTAACTGACATAGGCCTTGCTCCTACATCTGCTTTGATGCGTGATTCAGCAAATCGTCCTCATCTGACACACATACACTATCATCTGGTTTTTTTCTCCCTCTCTCACTCTCTACTTTGAAGGCTTAGAACTAGAATTCTGTATGTGACTCTAGGTGTCAGGGAATCCATTTGTTGCGAAAGATTTTAATGTTACTTATTTGGACAGGTTTTTTCAATTGATAGCCCAGTCAGGAGAAGGTGTTACAACACTGTGGGATAGTTCAAAGGGATCGTGTCTACAGTATATTTTGACTGTCAAGTTTTTAGCTTGATCTGGTTTGTGTGGAATCAGCAACAAAGTCCCTGTGACTTTAATATAAGGTGAGATGAAGACAAGGGGAGAGGGTGGTAGGGAGAAATAATCAAAATGAGGCAAACAAAATTAATTGTCCAGTTTCAGAACTGCCTGGTACCTGTGAAACCCTAACGTCACTTTGTCAGTTTTTAAACAGTCTGAACAAAAGGTGTACTTATTTTAAAAAGTAGTCCTATTTCACTTTCACTTGGTGTCATTAATGTGGATTTTGTGTGTTGGGAGGGATAGGGGGAGAGGACATTTCAAATGCAACTTTATCTTTTGTCAACAGTCTGAAATGTTTTATGATAGCTTACTGCCAGTCAGTTGTGCAGGATAGTATGCATTTCTCCTCACACAGGTTTTCAGTCACTTGTCTTACTTGCCATCCATATTTTTATGGATTTAAAATCTTCTTGTTAGATGAAGTGAACACTATGAAACTTGCTGTGCAAGTTCACCCAGATGCATCAGTTATTGCAAAATGCAGCCATGTTTCCTAGTACACACAATGTATTACTGGAGTTAAAGTACAATCCTGGATTCCTGTTCCCTTTCATGTGAATCAAAGTACTTATGCTGGTCTAGAAAACCAGCTTTGGGTGCTGGTTATCAAAGGAACTATCTCTATCCTTATGAATTGTTACAACAGATGAAGTAGACAAAGACACTTGACTATAGTCCCTGTGGACAGGGTAACATATCAGGTACCTTGAGACTGACACTTTGGACACTTTATTCCAGAATTGATTTCATATTCTGATGGCATTAGAATTGCCTATATTTTAGTGCAGGCTACATTGTTTTCTTTTTGCCCATACATTTGTTGAGTCAGATTTCATTAAGTTATTTTTATGCATGTGCTAAAGCAGTTTGGTACTTGGTACATTTTATATACTGAAAAATAGAATAAATACCATTATCTGTAAAAGTAAAGCATTTCATCGTATCAAGTTAATATGATCAACAATGAAAACTTGTATCTCCATATAATAAAATTTAAAACAAAATAGTATAAATTACGACTTAGTTCTTAGGCTATTTTAATCTGGTACACACAGTAGACTTAAATTTCTCTAGAAATCATTTTCGAGAAATACAGGCAACGTATTCGTAAAATACCTGACTTGCAAATGCCTCATAAATTCAGTAGCCCTTGTGAACTGCCAGAAAAGCATTATTGGGCTGTAAATACAGAAGATGACAAAATTATGAGGTCAGTTTGCATCATGATATAAAAACTGGAGATGGTGTGACCTGAATACCATTATTCACATCATTACCTTTCATTTATAATGGAAAACTTTGTAATGTTTTTACAGAAGGTGTGTACCTAAATGAAAGGGAGATAAAATTAATGGTAATTCTATAACTAAGTTCCTGAACTGTTTTTAAAGCCAATTTTAATGTATGATCAGCAGG